CACGGGGGTTGGTGTGGTTGTGGCCTGTTTCAAAAAAAAAAAACAGCGGTGTTCACTTTGGGGTGGGGAGAAATGGGTGTAAAAATAGAGTTATGGCCCCCCCCCCCCCCCCCAAGCTTTACGATAAGAGGTTATTCGGTACATATATAAATAAATAAAAAGCCAAGAAAATAAGACAATCATCTACATCTGTTTTAAATGTTTGTATTATTTATCGAAGAGACACAAACTTACGTTTCAACTTCATATTGTTGATTCATATCTTGACATATTTTATCTGGCAGAGAAAAATATTCTTGTGAGAAAAAAATACATTTTTCGTAACTTACTGTAATGAAGTTTTATCCAGTCAAGATAATTATGTACTTTTCCTAATCGCTCTATTTCTTTCTCGGTTATTGTTTAATGACTGTCTTTTACTTCAAGACTACGTGCTCCCTTTTTGTACGATCGACAATAAACAAAGGTACTTTTCATTATGCTATTTAAAGAAAATATTTACAGCTTCAATGACTTCCGTTGGTGGTTTTGATTGAAGGCTCAGGACAATATCCTCTTCCGATTGCATTTTTATATCTAAAATTGATTATATGTGTGATATAGATGGCAGGGAGGGCGAGCTACAAGTGCAATTCGCTGCTTTGAAGAAAAACAGGCAGTGTAAGAATGGTGACTATAGGCAATATTTACGGACAACATTATTCTTTTCTTTCTTCGGTTATCCTCGATTTGAATCTACACAATAAGCATGCAAATAAATTTATTTTATTAGTCAGTGCATTGTTCTTTTATTTTCTTTCCTTTCAATCACAATTGTATCAATCGATAGAAGATCAATAACTTAGCGTAAAAATCATTTTAACTAAAAATTATTCAATTCTAAAGTTAAAAAAGTTGTTCTCAACAGTTTTCATTGAAAATTCTTATAAATGTCTATGAAATATTCTAGGTCAAATCTACATGATTAGATCAATTAATTATTCATCGTATGCAAGGGAAAAATCAATAACTGTCGAAGAGCAACGGAACAAAGTCTCTCCTACTGGTCAAGTATTCTGTTGAATCGATAGTAGACCATACTCTATCATATCTTCTTAGCTTACAATTGTCAGTATTCTTTGAAATTATGGTCATGAGACATTTATTGATGATCAAATTTAATCAGTTAATTCTGAATCTCAGGCTATTCTGACAGACACACTAAAGGAAATCCAAAGTAATGCTGTAATCACCATGAATTCTTTTCTAGATAAAAAGAACCTGTATTCAGACATTCGAATAATCATTGTTGACCGATTATGTAACAAAGAATATTAACATTTGACGTGTTGTATCCGTTTTTAGACGTGCCTTCTTTTTGCTTGCTTCTATGAATGATGACATTCAATTGTCAATAATCTATTTTACATATCTAGAATTTCTTCTTCCATCATGGAACGCCTTACTCATCTATAGAACACTGATGGCTTCTGTATAACATATAAAAAATCAGCCAAAGATAAAAATAATTTTATTTTGACATGAAAGAAATAATTGTGGAATTTTTTCTAATGATCTATATGATCAATTGTCAGTTAATTCTTCATGATACCAATGAAATGAACAATGATAATTCCTTGCAATTTATTTGTTTATATTATTGTGTAAGTAAGGACAAATTAACTTATCAAGAATTGTCAAATGTTATCAACGAAGCGATTTCATATTGTTTTCGACCGTTAAATAGAAGTGAAAATCAATTTAGTAATATTGTTAATACACGTAATAAAAATTTAACATTTGAAGAATTTCGTATTAATAATATAAGTACAGAAGAACTTCTTTCATGGTCAACTCCTATTGGTGTAGTTGAAAAATATCAATTATATTTAAATGAAAAAGATTTATCTTTATCTAATGAATTCTTTTATAATTGTACAAAACCATATTTTGGTTTACGATGTCAATATTCATTTGAGTTTAGTGAAGATATGTCAATAATGAATGTTGTCGAAAATGAATTTAATACAAGAGTATTATATTATGAATCATCTTATATGTTGATAGAGTTGCCTTGTTATATTCCTATTAAGTGTGATCGTGGTGGAATATATATATGTCTCAATTGGCGTGAAATATGTAATGGAAGTATTGATTGTATTGATCAAGGTCTTGATGAAGCATTTTCTTTTATATAGAATTAAATCAATGTAAAGAAAATGAATGTCGATGTCATAATGGATTATGTATTTCAGAAGAATTTTGGGAAAATGGTTTGTCTGATGTCGATTGTCTCGATTGATCAGATGAATTAGCTGTTGTATTATATCCAAAATAATTGTTTTCGAGATCCAACATTTCGTTGTGAAGAACATTCATGTCGAACAAATTGATTTGATTTTTCATATGGAGATGGAGAATGTATACAAATATTTGATAAATGTCATAATGGACGTCATATATTATTAATTGAATCAATCTCAAATCAAGTAAATCTATCAGATAGATGTTTTTTTTCTATAATGTGTTTTACTAAACTTATTAAAGAAATTGATGGAAATTGATGTGAACATTGTTTAAGAATAATTTTATGTTCGAATTCATTAAGAATTGTGATTCTATTTTTCAATTTCCAATAATTCGACTTGATTTGAGGCATATTGATTTTTTATATGAAAATATATTTTTTAAATTAAGTTTAAGTTTATTAATAATTCCTGATTATGTTTATTATGATGAACAACTTTGTGATTGTATAAATCCAACATATATATATATATGAAAATCTAACTTGTTTACATAGTTCTATGTTAGGTATAACATCAATTGTTAGTGGACATCTATGGATAGATATGATTTTATCAATTGAATCTTATTTTGATTTTTGTTTTAATTCTCGTTCATTTCTCAACAATTTAAATAACTATGAAAATATAACATTATTATATAAATTTCAAAATTCATCGAAATTTATTTCAAAAAAACATCTTATTCTTTATGAAAATTTTAATTGCTGTATGAGAGATGATGAAGATAATAAATTAAGTTGTTTAATTAATGATAGACATCGAGTAAAATGTCTCAATAAAAGTAAATGTTTATCATCATTACATACTTTTGATGATTGTCCATTTAATGAAAATCAACTTGAAAAGAAAATTTCATTTCAAAATATTTGTGACGGTTTAGGAGATTTTTTTTTGAAGATTCAAATGATGAAATTCGTACAAATAAATCTAGTAGGTTATCGTTTACTACAAATTGTAGTACCATAAAATTCAATCCACATTTGTGGATAATGAAATCGAAAAAGTTAAAACTGGTAAACAAGTAGGGATTTTTATTTAGGGATTTTATAATTCAGGGACTTTTTTCCTAAAATACAATATATCAGACATATTGTGTTGCGATATCATCCTACTTCGCCTATCATACCCAATCATCTAAGATCAATTTTTCGAACTTATACGAAGGATGCTGCAATATATCTGATGACCAGAATCTATTTTGAATATTAATGAAACATTTCTTGGCGTTTAGCAACAGAAGTTCTTGTTTCGACAGTTAACCTATGTATATCTTCTAATGCTATAATCGTTTCAGTCATCAAGAAATACACAAAAAGGTTTCGAATTGTTTTGTTAGAACTGAGTTCAGTAATTAGTTCTTTTGTCGAGAATAGTATCTAATATTTTTATAAAGAACTGAATGATCGAACAGTTCTATTCCTTGATTGAGACCTATTACAGTTCTAAACATGATGCCTCTTGTGTTTGAAAAATCCCGAATTGATCACCACTTTTGATTTTATTGATTGCATTATCCAAAAATGTGGATCTCATTTAGGGATAGATTTAAGGTACCACCATTTGTGGTAAATGATAGATGTTCGGCTACCATCTTTTATTTCTTAGAACAAAGTAAATTAATATTTCAATAAACGATTTCATTTTTTCTTAAGCTTTCTATGATCTATTCGTTGAACATTTTATTAAAATACCCATGAATTTCTGCTCATTTTTTTGAACACCTGCATTTCATACGAACAGTTAAACAATAAAATAGCAGTAAAAACGAAATTATAAGAGATTTACACTAGTCATGAGAATAGAGCGCAAGATTCTTGCTAGATCATCCAAGAAAATATCCTACTCTGTGATGAACAAGAATCAAACTTGATTTCCAAGAGTGTCATGGCAATTACTTCGATGACCAAAAATGGTTATAAACCAGCGTATAACTGCATTAGTTTTCGTCGTTTTAGATCGCTTACAGCTCTATTTCCTAGAATCTGCGCAACTGCAAGATTCTGCTTACCGACTTCTTGTCTAATTTGTCAGATCTTCTAGATCATAGAAGAATCGTAAATTCAATATATGGAAAAAGAATCTGGAAAGAATAGAAATAAGAATATTGGTTTGTAATATCTGAGATTCTCAATTTTGAAAAAGAAATCCTTGAAACAAAACTGTTTGAATTCACTTTTCAAATCGTTATTTATTACGATGAAACATCAAGAATGACTTCATAAAAGTAGACAAACAGCTTTTCATTTTCTATGTATCGAATTTTAGATTTATATAAACAAAAGACTGAGCTATTATTCTATTGCTATAGCCCGAAAGTGTTGAGACAAAATGTTTCTTCATTGTTGCTGCCGATTAAGAAGGCTAATATACATTTTAAAACCTTGAGTTAGAATCAGAATTTAGTGTTTTTTTCGAATCTAAGTTTGGATTTTTTATGAGACTTATAAGTTAGAAGTTATTAACTAATAGTATGTGAAAGGTCTGAAAATAAGGTTGGAACGGATTTCAGCGCGCATAAAAATGTCTAGAGAAATAAAATTTATTTAAAATACGTGAAACGGAAGAGCAAACGTTTCTCTACAAAGTAATTTCCTGATCGTTAGTTTTCTGTAAGGCGTCTCTCAGCAACGAGAGTTCTGGCAAGAGATACAGTGATATTCAAGCAATTCCTTGGTTCCTAGACTTACAAAAGGAACTTTGTCATTTGTGGAGGATCGCTGCAAAATGCTCGGTTCTTAACACATTTTGTGAAGCTCAGTCTCGCCCTTTATGTTCTATAAAAAAAAAAAAAAAACGCTAATAAAGCATATGTAATAGAGAGCCTCATTGGTGATAAGTGAAATGAGCGTCCTTACAACGAAAATATGAAAGTACCGAGAAAAATCTCTGAAAACCACCATAGAACCAATTTCCAACGGGAGATGGTCACATTCTCCGTCCAAACTTTATTTTCAGACGTCGAAAAGATTTTAACTAAAGGTTTAAAAATTTTTCCTAATTCACTTAACCGATCGAAAAATGAAGAAACATTTTATCTCAAAACTTTCGGACCGCTAGTTACAAGAGAGCTCTTTAAAATAAGATTTATATTTTGCAAGAAAAAAATTGATGTCAGGTCATTTTTTTAAATATCGGATTTTCTGTAGCTGATAAATATCGATGAGTAACGAGGAGAACATTCACAGATTATTCGCTCCGTTTGCTTCGATATTTTGTTCATATGTAGGATATCATTAGAGTAGTATAACTTCCAACAAAACTCTGGCTCATATTGAGATTTACCGTAAATAGCAAGTTTTCAGTAGACTTTTTCAGAAGGATTCCAGTTTTCGAAAAAAGTCATATTTCCGAATTTCTATGTGAAACTTTGTACAAATGAAATTCTCGATTAAATTATCTCATGTAGAAAGTTTCATCAGTTTTGAATATTGCATTACCAAGATTTGGACTTCTCAACATATTCATGTGTTACACAACACTTAAAGACAAGCGTATATGTACTGAGAAATCCAAATCTTGACAATACATGACCCAAAACTAATGAAATATTACATATAAGATAGTCTAGTCGAAATCTTTCTATGTACAAAGTTTCAGATCGAAATTACAAAATATGAGTTTTTTCGAAAACTGGAACCCCGCTTGAAAGAATCTACTAACACAACGGTATCTCGGTCAAATCTAAACATGAACAGGAATCCTTTGAAGGTTACGCTACTCTAATAACCTCATACATGTGAACCAAGACATAGGAAGAAAATGGAAAGGATCACCTGGAAATTTTCTCTAGTAAAGATAGCATTTTCAATTTTCTAGAAAGTAATGTATTGATTTGCTAATTAGAAACCTAACCTGTATTATAAAATATATTCACCGTGTTCTCTTTTTTTTATGAAATTTAAATGTAACAATATAAATACTTAATGATAAAAGATCAATCAAAATGAAAGCAACATAAAGATAATCATAAAAATAATAAATGTCTTATTCTTGTTAGGTATATCTTTATTGAAATTATTTATGATTCTCTGTTTTATAATAAACAAAAATCTTTCACTTACAAATACATGGTGGATTAAATTTTGTTGTTTTCTCATCAAAACATTTACCATACTTCTTTGATATGTTTTCTAAAGAATGTACAGTACTATAACATACATTAACATAGTCTTTTTGACGAGGAAAATTCTTTAAACCCTATAATGATACAAATATATGTATATATATATTTATTTTTATTTCTTAAAGAAAACAAAATCGATAGCTTACATAATAAAATTCATGACACGTGGCTGCTTTACAATGAAAAGAATCAAAAACCGTTGCTTCAATCGAAATAATCATCGACAATAGAATAATAGTGAAGAGACACATTTTCATATTGTATGAGTTAGTTTTGGCGTATTATAATAAACAATAAATAATTTTAGTTGCTTTTATTTTTCTAAAAATACATTTGACTTTAGTAAACATTATCTCAAGTATGTAGACTTGTACGTGCAAAAGAGAAAGAAAGATTATTGTAAATATGTCAAGATATCAGTAGTACAATCGTCACATTTTAACAAAATAAGAAAAACAAAAGAAATCATATGATATCTATGAATGAACTGAATAAAATCTTTACTAGAATGTTGTTTATTTCTAGCAAACTAATCTGTCTGAATGTAAAATATAAATATAAATAGAATTAGCTATAAGTATAGTACAACTTATCAAAAAATAATTTTGATCTACGTCGTTCTCGAAATAGAACATCACACTAGTGTCTTTTTTCTAAGAAAAAACATGCAATAACATTTGATCTACGTTCCAGTTCTATGTAGTCTCAAATAAAATGTTTCTATGAACAACATTCTTCTGACAAAATAAAAACATATGGTTACTTGATGAAATGTAATATTAATAGAACGTTTTTCTGTTTTCCACTCACATATTTCATTTGCAATGCACTAAGGAAGAAATAACTGATACTATGGAAGACAATTAATCATATAAATTTATATATTTATTTAGAGCATCAAGGCACTATGTGTGATGGAATCATTGCCAAAATTTCTTTCCTACCCTATTCCATGAGATATTTATCAAAAGACTTACGTCATATCGCACCCATCCATCCTATGAGATAGACAGTCACTTACATAACCGGTTTTTTATTATACGGAAGAATATAACTATTTTTTTTTCGTATACACGGCATTGTTGTCTATTTCAGTGAAGTTAATGAAAATAAAATTTTATTCTATTATGTCAATAATTATTCAGTGTAGTCATTAAAGCACAGTAAAATGAATAATGATGAGGGTGTGGGTGTGTATGTCGGTGTGAGAAATGAGAATATCAACACCCACAAAAAGAAGGTGAAAAGGAAAATACTCATCGAATACAATATTGTCTAATTTTATCATCATTTATTATTAAAAATAGCTCTTATCAGAATTTTATTATTATGATATTAGTTGAAGTAAAATTAGATATCCTAGGAAAACAAAGCATTGTGTTTACTATAACTACATAAAAAAAGAAGGCTTTTTCAAGATTTCTATACAGAAATTTAATATCTCCGTCAGTACTTTTCGATTGCTCTTAGCCATATAATATTCTATATAGTTAATTAAATGGATAATTCAGGGCTGCCCCGAGTCGACCAACATGGGGGGGGGGGGGGGGGGGGGGGGAAGTTTTTTCATGTTTAGGTCCAGTTTGTTTTAAATTTTCTCAATCATTGACGACAACAATTGCCTTAAATCTTTCACGCAGTTGTTTTTTTGTCGTATTCTCTATG